GCAGTGTGTTATTTGTTGAAACTGTACTTCCGATTTGATTTGAAACTGTCTCATTGCTATCTGTTTATCAATAAAACTTTGAAAAAATAAATAAATAAAATAAAATAAAAAAGCAGCAGCATACTCATGGGCCAGGGAGAGAGCTCAGTGGCACAGTGACAGTGCCTGTCTGCAAGCACAAGGCCCTAAGTTTGTTTCCTGATACCTCCCCAAAAGAAACATCATACTCATAATTCATGAGAGCATCACCAGACCCTAGCCCATCCTAGAGATGCAATAAAGGCTCATCCAGTTCTTTTGCAAAGGGGCCAGCCTGATTTTCTCCGTCAGACTGGCAGCCCCTGCAGCTTGTCTTCCTTCTCATTTTTCTTCTCAAAGCTTTTGCCTGTAAATCTGTGCTGTTGCCTGTTTTAATTTCTATTACCACTGTGGCAAGTTTCCTTGCATTACTATATCAATCCAACAACTTCTTGAAATAAAAACTAAAAGCCATCTTAAAATCAGAGAAAGCTTTCTATATAAAAATACTCACTGCAGTAGATATTATACTATATTCAGAAAAAATCTACAAAACCAACAGAGACAAAGTCAAAGGATAAATTTAGGCTGAATATAGGAGCCTGAAATATCCCACTTTGAAATATGAAAGACTTGAGTTGAAGATAATTAAGAAGATGGGCCCTCCCTGCCTCATGTGTGCGTGTGTGTGTAAAATAGGAGAATGAATCTACTTCTCTTGTTAATCTGAAAAGTAGGAGTTTGATCCACCTGTGAATCTATGGGTATTATTCTTCTACATAGCCATTAAAATGAGTTCTACTAAAGATTATAATATTATAACATGTTGTTAAATGAAAGAAGCAGGAGTGTAGGAGGAAAGATAAAGAACAGAGTCCAGTAAATTTTCATTTCCTTGGGGTTAAAAAATCATCTTGATAAACCACCTGAAGGGAGCAATGTCCCTTAGAGGCATGGTTGTGCTTGTCACAACTTAAAGAATGCTCTAGATGGATCAAAAAGGGCTTATTTCTCAAAGGTATGAAGGCCCCAAAACTCTTAGAAACAACAGATAAAACCAATGCCTGAAAAATGAAAGAGAGGGCTTAGAAAATATAGGCAAAATTGTATTATGATGCGTGGCACCGAGCAAACATCCAATAAACATTAGCTAGCAACTGTTAACAAAACAAAACCCACACACATGCACACAGAACAAAAGCTTAGGCCTTTCTACCTGAGGCTCTTTGTGATGACTACCAAGAAAGCCCCTAGTCCATGCTGCAGAGGGCTTGTGTGGACATCGTCCCGAGGGTGTTCAGGAATCTGTCTGCTCCCTTCTCTACCCCAGCACCTTCCACAAGTCGTGGAAGAGCACCGTTATGCAATATGGTGCCAAGTACAGCGTGCCACAGGAAGCTGTCAGGAATCTGGCTGGACTGTGGCCTACCTTCCAAACACCATGCAGGGACTTGAGTGGGCGCCACACAAACGGACTGTAGCTGCGCCTGTCAATAATACAGACTGAACTGCAAAATCTAGATCAATAAACCTAAGGTTAGTATTTATACCTCTGGGTAGCAACCAAGAATTAATATAGTAAGTATAACTTGGTGTTTAAAGACGATCATATAAAATAATTAGGGAAATATTTCAGAATTAAACATCAGAGAACAAAGAAAGAAATCCAGAGAGAACCAACCTCTAGCCTAATGAAAACTGTATGCTAAGAGCCCTGTGGGCCAGTGAACTCCTGACAGCGGTACTCAAAAGAGAGACAAGGCTGAAAGAGTATTAAGTAGGCCCTTCTTAACCTAAGGTATTTTGATCCAAGAGGACACTTTTTCAGAGCAGCATCAGGTATCTGCTTTCTTAAATGGTTCCTGCTTAAGGAAAGATAGAATAATGTAAGTGCATATGTGTGTTCAGTGCTTGTGTTGGAAGGATGGGATCTCCCATGATACCTCAGAACAGTGGTGTGGGGCTGCTGTACACAGCTCAGTGGGAGAGCACTTGTCTAGCACATGGCAGGCCTGCAGTTCAATCCTTGGCATCCCAAAACCGAAACAAACAGCATGTCAGTGGTACTGAGACAGGTGTGCACCCTCTGGCGTAGAAGAGGGGCAGGATGGGGGTGAAGGCCTGCGGGGAAAGCTGATGGGGCAGGTCTGTACTATACGAACAGAGACCACATTTCTAACACCTAAATGGACATTACCATTTTATGCACATACTAAAATATCTTGAAAGGCTAGAAAGTATTCTACTTTGTACATCACAAGGATAATTAAAATTTCCAGGAAAGCTACAATGGAGAACCATTTTAAAATGAGGGTTGGGGGGCCTGGCCCTAGCTCAGTCCTTTAAGTGGCTGCTTCCACAAAGCTGTCAGCCTCAGGTTGCTGGAGTTCGAACCTCACAACTCTCCCGCTGGCCAAAAGCGCCCTGAAGGCATTCGAGGAAGAAAAAAAAATAAATAAAATAAAATAAAATGAGGGTAGGTAAGATTATGGCATCACCATGAATCTTCGAAGCTGTGGTACTGAACACTCACTATGCTTTCACTTCTAGAATTTTTTTTCAAAAAAAACAATATTCAAATTTCCAATAAATTAGTATTCTCACTTCTACAAAACCACTTCTTATAGGGTTCATTTAATCCCAAGAACTATAAGCATACTTGAAATAACACACTTGCGAATTAAATTACAGAAAACTTTTCAGGAGCTCTTACACCATCAGTGTCAATGTACATTCACGTCTGTTTTCTCTCAACAATTCCTTTTGCAGCAAAATGACCCGCAACCTAAACGCAGCTACCCTCCTCAAAGTCACCACTGCATTTATTTCTAAAGATCAACAGAAAATAGCTTAACCTTAATAAAACTAAAATTACTGCTTGAAGAACGAGAAGCAAATAAGATAATAGAAATTTATTAACCTTTTCCTGTGCCAGGGCTGTCATTCCAAGGTCATCTAGACCACACAACTGTAACCAGAAAGCTAGAGTTCAAATTTGAAGAAGGCTACTTTATAGCTTTCAGTCACCTACTGCCTGGAAAACAACTCTCAGGAAAGCCTTAAGTCATGGCTAAAACGTTTATGGCTTACAACTAAGGTATGAGAATAACTCTTGGTAACTAACCCATTGTAAGTCTGTGGCAAGCCATTCCTAAAGAAGAGTATTTGCTCAACTGGCTAAGATTATAATTAGTTTGAAAATCTTAAAACTGTTTTTTTAAGGTCTACATTTAAAGACTGTGTTAAAATAGTTACTTTTTAAAGACATGCAGCCTTCAAAAATTTCTCAACTATGTTCTTAATATAGATCTTTTAAACTGACACCTAAAAATAAACACAAATTGCAACACTGGTAAGGCACCACACTTACCTCTCTTTCAGCTTCTTTCAATATGGCTTCTTTTTCCTTTACTCGCTGTACAAACATCTGCTTCATTTCCTCTTCCTTTCTCTGACGCTCACCATGGAATTCATGTCTTTTGGCTTCATAGGTCTCTTGAAGACTAAAAAGTTACTTGCATTATTTAGTTAAAAAGATGATACAAAAAACTGGCAAAGCCTCATCTACCTCTTCTTGGGCCTTGGAAATGTACCACCAGGTACCAGTGTCTTCTACCATACAGTGACCTGAAACCTGGCGTCTAACCTGAACTCTGACCAAAGGAATGACAAGAAAAGTCCTTCAGTACTGCATACGGTACTGAAGGTACTTTCAGCATTAACCGAAGTCATTCACAAGAGGCATCCAAACACATTCCCTTTCCATCTTTGTTAACTGGTATCTCAGGTGCTTGTACCACTGAGCTGTCTCCCCAGCCCTACAACATTTCTTTAAAGAACAAAATTTATACATGTACAAAATGTCCTAAATGCCTCAAATCTCAAAGGGGCACTTTACTTTGAACTAGATTTGAGGTTTTTTATTCTTGTTTATTTTGGCATCATTTTAAAGAAATCCCTATATCCACCAGCTACTTTCACACAGTTTAGAAGCTTCATCACATTTTGCTGGAACAATACTGGATATTCTTTAATATAATTTAGGAATGTTTGGTAATAATTAACATATTATTCTTTAAAATAATACCTTAAATTTCTATCATGTGCAAATTTTGAAAAAAATGCTTCATTATTCTCTTTGTAGAAGGACTTGAGCTGCTTAGGAGGAAAACAAATCTACCTGGTGAAGTGAAGCGACTTAACATTTGTGAAGTATCTGCTACTAGTAACAGACCCCGGTGACGCCTCGAGTTCACGATTTCCCACAGCAATCCTGAAGAATAACCACTGATATTCTGCTTTACAGGTCGGAAGTGAAGGACTGAGGAAGCCATCTGCCCAAAGTAGTACCACTAACAGCAACAAGCTGAGGCATGAATCAGATCACAACACTTGCTCCAAAGTTCATACACTAAGCACCATAAATCCGACTAGCGAAATTTAAAATTTAACTTCATTTATGACCAAATCTTCTACAAGGTCAAATGCAATCACAGCACTAACTGGAATTCTCATGCTCCTTCTTGTTCTCTTTACATTTACACTTTATCAGCAGGGAAATGACTCAAATGCAAACAGTGCAATAAAAAAGGAGTCCTTAGTTCTCACAATATTTTAAAATGTTTACCCAAACGATCTCATGCGTCCATCCAGGCAAACCTGTTCCAGGATGCTACATTAAATCAGATCTGATTTAGTACATGATTACAATTTCATATATAAATGTATTAATTTTAAAAATATCTGGCTATAGCACCATACACAATTTCAAAAGAAGTCTGTAGCAACATAAAGAAGATTTTTAGTCCTAAAATTCTGATAAGAAAGCTGCAGTACTGTAAGGAACAATTTAATCTCCCATTCTCTACAAGTATTTTCACCCAGGGAGATGGCTCAGTAGAATAAGCACTTGCATGGCAAGCTCAAGGGCCTGAGTTCAATCCCTGGTTCCAAAAAAACAACTTCCAACTACAAGTATTTTCATTTTTCCCTCATAAGGTGTTTGCTAAATTTCAGTCATTCTAAAACTTACTTCAGAATAAAAGCCAATAGCAGACTGTTAGGTTGTGTAACACAGCTTGTTGCCTAAGGATTCTGTGTGTGTGTGTGTGTGTGTGTGTGTGTGTGTGTGTGTGATAAGCGCTAAACATATTTTCACCTGTTTCAGATAAATACAAGCACAATAAGGGTCCCGCTTCAGTTGTTCATGTCAGTAAATACTGGGTAGTTGGCTTTTGTCCTCCATTCTTCCCTCTATTCCTTTAAGTCAGATAAGAACTGACAAACCTTTTAAAGCAGGAAGATGTCAAGTGATTCAAGAACAATAATCATTCACTTTGGGAGTTGGCCGTATTTACACAGTTACATAGTTACACAGATTCAGTGCAATCCTGATCAAAAATACCATTATGATACCTCACAGATCTAGAGACAACATTCCTAAAATTCATCTGAAACCAAAAGAGTCCTAGGATAGCAAAAACAATCCTGGGCAACAAAGGGAAGGCAGGACGTATCACAATCCCTGACCTAAAATTATACTACAAAGCTACTGTGGTAAAATTAGCATGGTCATGGCAAATAAAACAGACCCAAGGGTAAATGAAACAGATTAGAAGATACAGAAATAACAACAAACACACTTAGCCATCTTATATTTGACATAGGGGCCAAACATGTTCATTGAAAGAAAGGTAGCCTCTTTAATAAATGGTGCTGAACAATTAAAAGGAAAGTGAGAACTTAAGGATTAAACAACGAAGAGAGGGCAAGGAGAAAAGCTAGGAAACATGGCAGGGGCAAAGCCATACATTTATATGCACAAGATGGTTAAGGCAATGATCCTGCAAGTCTTCAGCAGGTTTTTGAAACTAGTAGTTAATTGGTAGGATTCTCACCTTGACTAACTATAGATGCTGATACCTGTGAACTAAGCAACTGCACTGAAGATAGCAATG